ATACTGTACACATGTCTAATTGTTAAAAGGAGGATTATTTGAGTCCAAGAGTTCGATTCAAGGCTAGCCTGAGCCTGAGCACCACTATGGATTCTACTTCTTAAAAAGCACTTCTACTTACTGGGCGTGGTGGCACACACCTTTAATCCCAGCACTCGGGAGGCAGAGGCAGGCAGTTATTTGTGAGTTTGAGGCCAGCCTGGTCTACATAGCAAGTGCCAGGCCAGCTAGGGGTACAGGGGGACCCTGTCTCAAAAAGACCAAAAAAAAAACACTTCTACTTAAGTGTTATTGTATGCCACAATACCACACACCATATAATGTGCTTAACGTGAAATACTTCATTTTTTAAGTCTGTAAGTCTTGCACCTTCGTCAGCATCATGACCTCTTATTAATGGTGAGGACTTTTGATATATAGAAAGAAAAACGCTAGGTAATCTAGCTTCTGTCTACATTCCCTTGCCCCCTTTTTTTAAGAAAGGGTTTCACTATGTAGCCCCAGCTGTCCTGGAATAGCTATATAGATCAGGCTGGCCTCCAGCTAAAGAGATCTGCCTGTCTTTGCCTCCCAACTTCCAGGATTAAAGGTGTGTGCCACCAAGCTATCTACATTCTATTTTTTAAAAAGATTTATTTTATGTATGTATATGAGTGTTCTGTCTGCATATATATGCACCTTGTACATACAGTGCCTACAGAGGTGAGAAAAGGGAGTTGGATCCCCTAGGAATAGTTATGGAATGTTGTGAGCCAACATGTGGATACTGGGAACCAAATCTGGGTCTTCTGGAAGAGCAGGAAGTGCTCTTGCTACCACTGAGCCATCTCTCCAGACCACTGGTCTACATTCTTAATAACTAAGCTAAATTGTAGCCCCACCCATGGCTTGGTGGAAGCAATGACATTTATTCTAGGCCTTCAAGGTAAAGTCTGGATTTTGATCAGAGATGTACTTTAGGAAGATTACTCTGGTAGTAAGGGTTAGACTGAAACTAGAACTGGGAAACTACTTGGAGCTAATATGTAGTTAATAATAAAAGAGGCATGAGGGGCTAATGAGGGTAACAAGTTCCAAAGGAGCTAGAAGATTAAAGCAAGAATGCTAGATGTGCTTACATAATTTTCTGGTATCTTGGGATTTTTTTTTTTTTTTTTTTTTTTTTTTTTTTTGTCTTTTTGAAACAGGATCTCCTTGTGGCCCCAGCTGGCCTGGAACTCACTATGTAGACCAGGCTGGCCTTGAACTCAGAGATCTGCCTGCCTCTGCCTCCTGTGTGCTGGGACTAAAGACATGTGCCACCACACCCGGCTAGAATTTTTTTATTTTCCTAGATTTAATGTTTTATCTTTTTTAAAGTGTCTAGATACATAAAACAAACATGTAACTTAAAGCTAATAAGTGCAGTACCTTTTGAATGCTTCTGAAGTTTTAAAACTGAAATTTTAATTTGAAGAGAGCTCTGAATTGCCCAGTTCAACCGTATAACTACAAAAGTCAATTTATGACAAAAGTCATTGTAGAAAAGTTAGAAAATATGAGTGAAAACTGCTACCAGCAAGTCTGTTGCGTTATTATTTCCTGAGGGAAGACTTAAGATGATCCACTCGATAAAAGATCTGATCAGCTGCCCTTAAGTCATGAAACAGAAGTCTTTGCACTTTTTTGTTTTGTTTGTTTGTTTGTTTGGAGACAAAGTCTACAAACTTCTGGACCATTCTCTGTTTCCGTCTTCTATCTTGCTACAGCAGATACATGCCAAGGCATCTAGCTTTTTACATTGTTCTGGAAATTCCTCAGACTTGTACAGCATAGGCACTTTTACCCACTGAGCCATCTATCTCCCTGGCATACTAAGTTATACTTTAATTCAGAAAGAAAATAGTGGTGCTGGAGAGATGGCTTAGTAGTTAATAGTCTTGACAGCTCTTGCAGAGGACCCAGGTTCAGTTGCCAGTACCCATATGGCAGCTAACAACTGTCTGTAACTCGGGATCTGAAACCCTGTTTTGACCTTGGTGGGACTTGCACAGCACAGGTGTGTGCACTTACAATCTTTTTTAACTGGAAAATAACTATAATCTTGCTTCACTGAATTAAAATATCCCATTTATCCTATTAGATTATCATTATATATGTGTAATTTTTGCTGTGTTGGGACTTAGACCCAGGGTCTCGTACAGGCTAAGCAAGTAAGTACTTTACCACTGAGCCACAATGCTGTCCTTAACCTATTCCTATTAGATTCTTAAACATATTGGGCTTATTTCTAAATATTATTCTATTTACTGTGCAATGTGGAATCAATACTGATCCTTTTTCTTGAGACAGGGTCCTGCAGTGTTACCTCAAATTTGCAGTCTTCCTATCCAAGCCTCTCCGTTGCTGGGATCATACCTAACAGTATCAATAAACTTTTTGTAAGACTGCTAGATATTCTCTACCCTACTCCCCCAAATTATTTGGAAATGCTAGCTTACGTAGCGTACATTTTCATGTCAATAAAAATGAGTAGCTAGGGCTATAATCATTTGCCACTGCACCTGATTTTACTATTTTACTACTCTGTCTGTCTCTTTGTGCGTGTGTGTGTGTGTGTGTGTTGTGTGTGTGTGTGTGTGTGTGTGTGCGCGCGCGCGCGCATGAGTTTATATACACCATATACATGCCTGTGGAGGCCAGAGGGTATCAAATCTGGAACTGAAGTTACCATTTGGGTGCTAGGAACTGATCCTGGGTCCTATGCAAGAACAGTAAGTGCTTAACATCTAAGTCATCTTTCCAGCCCAATTTTACCTGCTTGGAAGAGTTTTTGTTTCTTTGTTTTTGTTTTCATTATTGTTAATAGTGACCACAAGTGCCAGGTATAGGGAAATAAGGATAACTTAAAGTTGTCAGTTCTCTCCTTTCACCTTTTTACCTGGTTTCCAGGGATCAAACTCAGGTCATCAGCTTTATATAAAGGCAAGCCCCTTTACCTACTGAGTCACAATGTACTATTTTTAGTATTTGTCTCTGTTTTTTTGAGACAGAGTCTCCTGTAGCCCCAACCAACCTGGAACTTGCTATGCAGACTAGGCTGACCTTAAATTTATAGCAGTCCTTTCTCTGCTTCCTAAGTGCTGGGATTATAGGCCAGCTTGATCATCCTGATACAGAATTTATATTAAATGTATTTTGTATGTTTCTTCTCAGAACCTTGTAAGCTCTTTGAAAATAGAATATATGATGATGACCATTACTTTGCATGTAGTACATACTCAGTAAATAAATGTTCTAATTATATTTTTCTTCTGAGAACTGAGAGTTGTGCTTTGTCCTAAAGGTCTACTTTAAAAGCAAGGAACTGCTCCTGGAGAGATGGCTCAGTGGTTAAGAGCACTGGCTCAGTTCCTAGCACCCACCTGGTAGCTAACAACTGTCTGTAACTCCAGCTCCAGAGACCCAGTGCCCTCTTCTGCCCTCTGTAGGCATTGCATGACACTGCTGCAGTTTTATACATTCAGGCTATGTATTTATACACATAAATGAAAATAAATAGAATGTTTTAAAAAGTTAGGAGCAGGCTTAGAGAGATGGCTCAGTGGTTAAGAACACTGGCTGTTCTTGCAGAAGACCTGAGTTCGAATCCCAGCACCCACATGGCAACTAACAACCATCTAACTCCAGATCTAGGGGATCTCATACCCTCTTCTGTCCTTTGCATGTACTACACAACACAGGTACACTTACACACATGGAGGTATAATACTCATTCACATAAAAAATAAAAATAAAGCCAGGTGTGGTGGCACACACCTGTAGTCCCAGTACTTGCGGGGCAGAGGCAGGCAATCTCTGTGAGTTCAAGACCAGCCTGGTCTACATAGTGAGTTCCAGGCCAGCTGGGACTACAGAGAAACTGTTTCAAAAAGACAAAAAATAAAGTTAAAAAAAATTTTAAATAAAATAAAAATAAATGAAATTTTTAAAAAGCAAGGAGCCGTACTATAACACTAAACAGTAAAATACATAGTATAGTAAACTGATTTTTAAGCAGAAATATAGGGAGTATGGTTATTCTAATCAGAAAACACCAAAGTTTTGGGATTTTGTGTTTTTTAACTAGTTGGGAGATTTTTTTTTTTATGGAAATGTTAATGCTCTCCAGCCGGGCTCTAGTCCCAGCACTTGGGAGGCAGAGGCAGACAGATCTCTGTGAGTTCAAGGGCAGCCTGGTCTTCATAGTGAGTTCAGGTCAGCTGAGACTACAGGGAGACCCTGTCTAAAAAAGACAAAAAAAAAAAAAGAAACGTTAATGTTCTCTGCACTCAACTCTAGGAGCTAGATAAGGATCAGGATCATGAATGACTCCTACTCAGAGTGTTTACAGAGAGCTGCTGAAGGAGTGCACAGATGAATAAAAAAGATGAGCGAATGCAGGCTTGACCACCCAGTGTTGGTACAGATGTTAAAAAAAAAAAGAGTTGTTTTGGGGCTGGAGAGATGGCTCAGCAGTTAAGAACACTGGGTGTTCTTACAGAAGACCCAAGTTTGCATCCCAGCACCCACATAGCAGCTAACAACTGTCTGAAACTCCAGTCCCAGGGGAATCCAACAGCCTCTTCTGACCTCCGCGAGCATTGCATGGCATGGGTGCACTTACCTACCTGCAGGCAATACATGCATACACATAAAAATAATTTTTTTTAAAGAGTTGTTTTAATAACATGATACAGGTTCAAGAAGCTCCAAAACTCAGGGAATAGAAGCTTATATTTCACTCTGGAAGTAAATTAATTAGCCCCTACTCAGTCGTTAGAACTGTCAAGATTCGTTTGGAATTTCTGTGGGACATAAAATGCTTTGAAAGTTATTTTCACTGAAGTAATTAAGAGTTTCTTTGGGCTTTTGGTTTGATTGGGAGTTAGGAGCAGTTGTAGGTTAGTGGTCAGTGACTTTGCTACCTAGCCCTGCATTAAGCAATGATTCAGCTCTCATCCAAGCTTTGTGTTTCACAGATTTACTGAGCCCATTAAAGAAATGGAAGTCTCGCTATCTGATGGAACAGAATATCACCAAGTTACTTCAGCCTCTGTCTCCAGTTACACCACCCCCTCCCAGCTCAGACTCAAAGAGCCCCCAGCTGACCACACCTGGCCAGACCCACCCAGGAGAAGAGGAGTGCCGAAATGGATATAACCTCATGTTCTCACCAATCACATCTCTTACTACTGCTAGTCGCTGCAACACTCCTCTGCAGTTTGAGGTGATTTGGGTTTGGTTGTTGGGAGTGCTTTTTATGAAAAATCATCATTTGTACCTCTTCATTTCTTTCTTTCTCTTCTTTTTTTTTTTTTTTCGGTCTTTTTGAGACAGCATCTCCCTGTAGCTGGCCTGCAACACCTATGTAGACTAGGCTGGCCTTGAACTCACAGAGATCCACCTGCCTGTGCCTCCGGAGTGCTGGGATCAAAGGCATGTGCCACCACACCCAGCTCAGATGGTTTTTTAACTATGTCCCTTCCCAAGAGAATAGGAAACCTCAGGGTCAGTGCGGGCCATTGCCTGATAGCCTCTCATCTTGGCAGCCCCTATACTTGCCAGGATAGGAGCAGTGCTCCCACAGACCCAATTCATCTGTCCTTGCAGTCCCTCAGTCTCCTTAGTATGTTGGATCTTTATCTTTCCTGTATACATTGGTCAAAAGTGGCATCTAGGTGCCTGTGGAGCCCATTAGTAATACCAGCCTGAGAGCTCAGATTATATTATGGGCATGTGTTTCTGTGTCTGGGCCCTTAGGTGTGTGAAGTGTCTTTCCCAGACCATTTGGTAGTTTCACTGTTGCCTCGGGACAAAAATTTAGAAACACTGGAATATAACTTTTGGCAAGTGTGTTTTTTGTTGTTGTTGCTGCTGCTGTTTTGTTTTTTCCACTTGAGATTACTTTCCCTCCTTGTCATAATGTGTTAGGAATGAAAGTTAAATAATAGGCTAATAACATTGATTAATATGAGATACACTAGCTGAGCATGGCAGAGGCCAGCCTGGTCTACATAGCAGGTGCTAGGTCATCTGGGAGACCCTGTCTCAAAAAGACCCAAAAAATATGAAATACACTTACCATATTCAGTGGTTGGATTACATTAAAAAATACACATAATAGCTGTTTTTAAAACAGCTGAGGTTAGAGAGATGGTTCAATAGTTAAGAGCACTGACTGCTCTTGCAGAGGACCTGGGTTCAAATAACCAGCACCAGTGTGGCAGCTAATTATTGTCCATAACTCCAGTTCCAGGGGACCTGATGCCTTCTTATCGCCAAGGGCATTGCTCGACATGGGTACATTTACATGCATTCGGGCAATACACTCATACACATAAAATAAAAATAAAAAGTTATACTCACCTGGCATGGTGGCACACACCTTTAATCCCAGCACTTGGGAAGCAGAGGCAGGCAGATCTCTGTGAGTTTGAGGCCAGCCTGGTCTGCATAGTGGGTTCCAGGCCAGCTGGGGATAAAATGTTAAGGAAAAAAAAAAGTTATACTCAATCAGTTGAATATTCAGATTTAGGTGACAAGTGTAAATATAATCCATATGTATTTTTTAAAGAAGCTCATCTTTTGGATGTAATTAATGAACGCTTCTGTGGGTGATAATAATTTGATGTAAGCACTGAAAACTTGGCTCTGCCCCCAACTTCCACTTCTCTGGATGCTGTCTTGATAAAAGTTGAATGTTCTAACCAGCCCACCTTCTTATTCTTATTTCATGTGTGTGAAGATTAAAACTACCATCATCTTTAATAGGGCATGCTGGTGTATACCTTTAATCCCAGCACTCAAGAGGCAGAGGCAGGTGGATCTCTGAGATGAAAGCCAACCTGGTCTACATAGTGAGCTCTAAGCCAGTTGGGGGCTACAAGGAGACCCTGTCTTTAAAAAAAAAAAAAGAGAAAGAAAAATAACTGGGTTTTTATATGGCTAACTCAAAGGAGGAGCTAATCACATTGACAGCAAAGCTATATGCTCTATTCTAAATCCAGACCAGTAATCACTTACTTTGGAGCAAACCTCTTATTAGATGGTAAAAAAGTCCTCCTGGTTACATTTGATTTTTCTAGGGAAATTATTCTATCATATTCCTGTGTCTTTTTTTTTTTTTTGGCTTTTTTGAGACAGGATCTCCTTGTAGCCCCAGCTGTCCTGGATTTACTATGTAGGCCAGGCTGGCCTCAAACTCACAAAGATCTGCCTGCCTCTGCCTCCCAAGTGCTGGGGTTAAAGGCATGCGCCACCACACCCAGCCCAGTGTGTCAATGTTTTTAATCATATATTAAAGCATGTCATTCAGACCTTTTTTACTTTGTCTACTAACAGTTTTCAGTTAACAATTAAGAGTTCTCTGGTAAGGTATCCTAAGAAGAAATTCTCCCTAGAGTACATTCAATTACAGGAATAGAGCCGTACTTTCTCATGGCAATTTCATTATTAATGTGAAATTACAGAAAATAGAAGTCTCCCCTAACAGGCAAGTTTGCACTCTACTCAGCACTTTCTATCCCATACAGCATTTTTAATAATTATAAAATGCTGTGCAGATGTAAAGGTTCTTTTGGCTGTTCTTGTTTTAAGAGACAGAACATCATTTTTAGTGAATTATAGTCTAAGCTTAATGTTAGAATACCAGGAAGCAGTCTGACAAGATGACAACTCAGTGTAAAGGCACTTGCTGCCAAGCCTGATGGTTTCAGATTAATCCCACATGTGGAAGGAGAAAACCAATTCCCACGAATTATCCTCTGACTTCTACACATACACTGTAGCTAGTGCCCCCACACACACACAAAATAAATAAATATAATGGGGAGGGGTGGTTGATAGGGTGTTACCAATCCCAGCCTTCCTGGAACTTAGTATGTAGACCAGGCTGACCTTGATCTCACAGAAATCCTCCTGCCTCTCCGTCCTGAAGGCTGGGATTAAAGGTGTGCACCACCATGCCTTGTGTAAATAAATATAAAATATGAAAACTAGAGACTAGAGACATGGCTCAGTGGTTAAGAGCCTGGCGTAAATAAACACAATTTTTTAAATATTTTATTTATTTTATGTTATGTGTATGAGTGTATTACCTACATGTGTGTAAGTGCTGCATCTGTGTTGTGCAATGCCCACAGAGGTCAGAAAACATCAGATCCCTTGGAACTGAAGTTTTGGACAGTTGTTAGCTGTCATATGTGTGCTGGGAATCAAACCTGGGTCCTCTGTAAGAGCAGTCAGTGCTCTTAGCAGCTGAGCCATCTCTAGCCCCCCAAAATTTAAACAAGGGGCCAGAGACATGGCTCAGTGATTAAGAGCTTTTACTGCTCTTCAGGAGAACTCAAGTTTTGTTCCCACCTCCATCGTGGGATAACTCAAAACCAGCTGTAACCCCAGCTCTAAAGGATCCAGCACAATCTCTTCTGACCTGTGTAGGCACATACACGTAATTTTTAAAAATAAAATTTTTAAATAGCAAAACTTCCAGTGCATGATTCCACTATTGTAAGCTTTCAATTTCACTAAGGAAATGTAGCCATTCTCATTACTAAAAAACAGCTTCACCACCACCCTGACCAATCTTTGTCACCGTTCTGTTAGTAACAGCCTTTCCTATATTCTAGTACAGAAAGGTAGATTGCAAGCTTTTTTTTCTTCATCGAAAACTGTGACACATAGTTGGTCATAGGGCTGTACATCTCTAATCCCTGCTCTTGGGATGTAGGTACAGGAGAACTATCATAAATTTGAGCCCACCCTATCTTTAAAAGTAAATTAAAAAGATGCAATGAAATACCAGAAAAGTATCACAAGTAAAGAACCAGTTTCGTTGAAGTGAAAACACTTCTAAATAGGAAATATAAGTTCAGAGAAAAAGTGAGACCTATCTAGTTCTAAGGGAATAAGGGACACAGTCAAGAGAACAAGATCATCAGGAGGGTAAAGCATCTTAGAGGAAGAAGTGAACGCAGCCTTGAGAAGACAAGCTCAGTTTGCCTTTTCTTTCAACCAGAATAACCCTTCCCTTCTCTTCCTGCTCTCAGATCCGTACTCCACTTTCTATCTTACACATGCCCAAGTCTACACTTATATACCAGAGCCCCTCCCCACTGACTAACATTTGCTGTTAAAACCTTGCTCTGCTGAAGCCTCCCCATTAAACCTACCATAGCATAGTTCTTCCATTTGAGCCACAGTTTAGAGTCTGTATACTGAGAACCCTCACCTCAGTTCTGGCACCTTGAGTCCTTGTCACAGCTGCCAAAATTGCTTTCTTATTCCCATTCCCATGTACCCTTCAGCAGCCCACTGCACAATCCCTATATGTTAGGGAGGTGCTACCTCAGCTAAAAGTCTTATCCTGTGTAAGTCACAAAGCAAGTCTACATATACATGCTTTATTTTGCTGTGGCCCCAAAAGTATAGTAGATACTAACCAAGTGAAGGCTGATAATGGTGCTGAGGTCTGTAACAGTGACTTGAGAGGAATCTACCATCTGCCTCTCCTGTCAGTCCCCGGATAGTCCCCTGGATAACAGATAGGCCTGAGGTAGTGAGAATGAAGAACTATGATGAATAGAAGTGGTATGAAGTAAAGAAACAGAGTTCCTCTAGGAACAGTAAGGATTAGGGTGCTTCCCCCCCAATAACAAATGCTGTATATTGCTAAAGTATCATCTATAATATGAAGAAGCATAACATAAAACTTCACCTTTTTCCTGAGTTCTGCTTGAGATGTTTACTTACAGCATGCAACATTATAACCAATTTATCCTGAAGTGCTTTCCAAGAAACCAGGAAGCATTTTAACAAATCGTTTTGTCCATTGAGATGAGTTCTGCAGCTAAACACGCTCCCTGTGCACTCTTACTCAGTCCCTCTAAGAAGTTGTGGCTAACATCTATGCTTGCTTTTATTTTTTGTTTTGTTTTGCTTCTTGACTTGGAGTAGATGAATAACAAGATGCTTTTCCCTCCTCTAGAACATATCCTCCCCTGAGAGTTCCCCTGCGCATAGGCCCGAGTCCCTGTCACCCGAGGTAGTTATCACACCATCTCAATCACACTTGGAGGCTGAGAGTGAGTGAGTGTGCATGAATGTGATCCTGAATGTGTGGGGAGGGCTGGGAGTTGGAGTGAATAGGGTGCTGGGCTGGAGGGCAGCAGTCAACTTACAGCAAGTGGAGTGAATCTTCTGTGTAACTGACTACACAGGACTGTGGATGTAGACCAGAGAAAATTATGTAGCTGTGTATATGTGGTGGGGTTGGTTTTTGTTGTTGTTTGGGAGAGGGGATGGCTGCAGAGTTAAAGAGAATCTAGAAGTCCAGTTTAAAGGATGCAGAATATGTTATAGAAGCCTTGTTAAATTCTAATGTCTGTTTGTTAACAGATAAGGAAAGTTGAGTTGTTAAGAGCTGTCTTTTAGTATTTATCCAGTTGAGCAGCTTATATTGGAAGTATTAGGACAGTGCCTTGTTCTAGGGTTAATCTGACAGTTCTACATTACAAGGTATTTGGGATTTGAATGATAGGTTGAAACAGATTCTTGAACAGAGCTCCAGAGCTCCTTACTAGGTGTAAATGTGCAAGGAAACTGAATCTATGGCTTCTCTTTTACAGAGCCTCCTCTGTTCTGCAGTGGCTAGAATGTAGTTGTTGTACAAATAGTACCTCTTAGGATATCAACTCATCACTCTTCTCAGGAACCTGCTGTTCAATTCAGATTTTAGAAGATTTTTAAGATTTGGATAAATACGCTAATTATTAACCCTATAAATCTACATGGAGCCCTTTTCCTCTTAAAGAGAAAGTTATAATCTCTCACTGTATTGGAAATTAACTGAACTTTAACTCCACTCTAAAATAATGAGGGCTCTACTGAGAGTTAACCAAATTCTGAATCCATAGGATTTTATATAGAGCATTATGAAATTGAAAAAATTGTATTCTACTAGTTTACTATAGATTTACTGAGTGTTTTGAAAATATCTTATTTGAAAAGCATAGATTGTTCTCTCTTCAGTTGTTAAAGATGATAGCATAGTTTGGATACTGATATGATACTGGATTTCTGATACCTTTCTTTGTAGATAGTTGACCTAGAGGTGGAAAATCTTGGTGTTAGGGAGTGAGTCCAACCAAAGAGTAGATGGGGTTTATTATTGGTAGATTTCAACATTTCACATGCTCTTCACTGATAGGCATTAGTGCTCTTGTGATATGTTGGCATACAGTAAGAGGAGAAAGAAACAAGAGAAACAAATGTATGAGAAGCATACTTAACAGTGAAAGTGAATGAAGAACTGGTTGGTTGATGTCTTTAATCATTCTCCTTTACTGAACCAGTAACTTAAAGTACCTCCCTTTGTGTCTGCCTTCTACTTTTCTCCACCTACCCTTCTCACCCTCCATCAATATTAATGTAATGATGTATAACACCAGAAGCCAGTTATTTAAGACACTTCTGTGCATGGGGCTCAGGTAAATCCCTAATTATACTGCCAGTCTATTAGCATAGTGTACGGTGACTCAGCAAACCTAATGAAAGGCTAAGCAGGCAAATAGTCACATTTGGCCAATCACCTAATACTGACTTTCCCAGTGTTCTCACCCAGCAGGACATTAAAGCATTTTAGGAAAGACCGGGATTCTTGAGTAGTCTGGCCTATGTACAACTGTTGTTCCATGGGACTTTACAGATGTTAATGACTCTCCCTTCTACTTCCATCCCTCTTATCTCCTTGTACACCTGTACCCCTTTATTCCCTTTATCTCCCTTTGACTTTTTCCTTTTTCCCCCTCCCCATGTCTTCGTTGATTTTTATTCTTGCAGCTTTGTCACCGAAAAGACCTGGATTTGACAAAAGTAGGATACCTTGACTCCAACACTAACAGCTGTGCTGATAGACCTTCCCTGCTCAACTCCAGTCATCCTGACCTGTCTTCTCATCCCTCCATCATTCCCACATCAGAGGCTGGCTTCTCAGGCAGGAGTGATGGACCTCAGTCCTTGCTGAGAAACTCAGACCAGGCATTTCGGACAGAGTTCAACTTGATGTATGCCTACTCCCCTTTGAATGCTATGCCTCGAGCCGATGGATTATATAGAGGATCTCCCCTAGTGGGAGATAGGAAACCTTTACATTTGGACGGAGGATATTGTTCCCCTGCAGAAGGGTTTCCCAGCAGATATGAACATGGCTTTATGAAAGACCTCTCTCGTGGATCCATGTCACCTGGTGGTGACCGGACCTGTGAAGGAGTCCCATCCGCCCCTCAGAACCCACCACAAAGGAAAAAGGTAAGTATTCATGTTACATAGGACCCCTTTTGAAAAATATTAACCAAATAATTCAAGCTTTGCAACCTCTAGTGTATAACCCTGTTCTAAATAAGTCCTACTCTTTGCTGTAATTGGTGAAAACTAGACTGTTTTACTTAATTTATTTAATTTCAGTTAAATTATTTTGTTGTGGGGTTGTTTTTTTGTTGTGGGGTTGTTTTTTTGTTGTTTTTTGGTTTTGATCTTTTTGAGACAGGGTCTCCAGCTGGGGAACTCACTATATGTAGACCAGACTGACCTGTAACTCACCGAGATCCACCTCTGCCTCCTGAGTGCTGGGATTAAAGGTGTTTGCCACCATGCCTGGCTACATTTACTTACTTTGTATAGATATGTGGGTAATCAACTGCCAAGGCACACCTACAGCTTGTGAGAGGCAGTTCTCTCTGCCATACTGCTCCTGGGGATCAAACATGAGTCATCAAAGGAAACTGAGTTCCTTTACCCATTGAGCCATCTCTCTGGTCCTTAAAATTAGAATGGTGTAATACCATTTTGTAAGTGTATATAAATATCCAGCAGGGTTAAAGTGTGGTTCAGTGGTAGAGTACTTGTATAGCATGAATAAGGCCTTTCATCTCCAGCACTCCAAAAGAATTAAGTATCCAGCCAAGCCTAGTGGTACACATCTATAATTCTAGCATTCTGGAGGTTGAAGCAGTATTGCAAAGTTGAGGCCAGCCTAGGCTATATAACAAGACCTTGTTTATTTGTTTGTCTGTTTTGTTTTTTTAATCTAACAAATTTAAATATCTGTTAATCCATTTGAAAGGCATGTTAACAGTTAAAAACATAATGAAAACTTGGGTTACTTAGTAGGACCTACATTTGGGACACTGTTTTCTTAGCCAGATATAGTAATTCATACTTGGGAAGTTGAGGCAGGAGGATTATGATGTTTGAAGCCAACCTGAGCTACATAGTGAGACCCTGTTTTGTTAATTCATTTTGTTATCACAATAACTGTATAACTAGGGAATTTCCCATACTGCAGGTGAGGAAACTAAGGCTAGTTAAGTAACTTGTATTTGGTTACAAAGATAATAAATGGAAGGAAGAGCCAGGATACAACACTGATCTGATTCCAGATTGCATGTCACCCTACTAGATTACTTCTAGGTTTGGCCTCAATGGAGCTTTACCAGATTTACATTAGTAAATCATGAATTACAGTGGTGGTGATGGTTATGTGAGAAGAGTTTTTCACATGTGATAAAAGCATCTTAGTAGAGGAATCTAGTACTTCTACTTTGAGAAGAAACAGGAAGCCTTTACTTTCTTTGAGGGATTAAGATTGAGAAGTAACAGGTTCAGCCAAATTCCAGACAGTAAGAATCAGCCAGTCAACAAATGAGGGTAAGGATGTTGCCATAGAGGGAACAGAACAAGTAAGTTTGACAGTGTACTAGGATGCTGCAGGGTACAGACAATAGGTAGATTAGGGAGCCAGGTAATACACAGGGAGAACCAGGAGGAAGGTTAAGAGCAAAGTGGCCAGCCTTAGAGAGCTTGCTAATGATTTGGGTCTGAGAATCATGCCTTCTAAATGATTCTAAAAATCACAAAACCCAAGCTGTGCTTTTTAATCTATGGTTTTAGGTGCGTTTTGAAGATGCATGGAACTATTTTGGGTTGTCACTGTGACTCTTCATTGTTCAGAGCTAATTGCTAGATAACCAGTATGTGGCAGTTTTGCATAATAACTGAATAGATCCTCCTCATTGAAAAATAGCCTGTGGCTTCTGTTTACATTACAATGGATGTACATTATCAGTTTATTACTAAGATTATACATAAAATGTGAATACAAAATTATTAAATTTTTTGATATTTCATTCTTGGACACAAATATAAGAGCCCTTAGGATAGAAGGAGGTGGAAACATTGGTAGACAGTACAGAGTAAGATAATCATGGGGTTCTAAGATTTGCAAGAAGAGTATTAACTATCAAGATACAAACAGAACATGAAAACAGTCTTGGATTTCTGATTTTATTTATTATATACAGGTAATTAAAAGTATGATTTGTTTGGAAACATTTCTAAAATATATTGGGCACCTGCAGTATGCCAATTTTTTTTTTTTTGCTAAATGTTAAAAATAAAAAGCCAAGGAAGGGAGGATTGAAGAGCTGGCTCAACAGTTAAACACTTAGCAGAGGCAGGCAAAGAGTTGTGAGATTGAGGCCAGTGTGGTCTGTATGGTCTATATAGCAGATTTCCCAGCTGAGACTACAGGGAAACCTTGTCTCCAAAAGGCAATAATAATAA